GACGCCGGAGGGGACCCGAGTCCTCAGGCAATGCGAGGGCCACAGCCAGGACACCCCCGGTCAGCACCCAGGGGGCACCCGCGGGGCCCATCGCCCCCGGGACAAGGGAGGTCCCCAGTTAGCTGGCGCTGCGGAGTGGCGGGCGCTTCCGGACCCCAGGCCCGCCCCGCCACCGAGCATGCTCAGTGCGCGCGGCTGCCCAAAGTTTGCTGGACTCGCCCAGGCTGTGAGACTGTGGGCGGGCCGGCGGGTGGGGCGCGGCTGGCGGGGCCATCAGGCCTGGTCACTCTCAGTCCTAATGCTTTCTCCCATTCCAGAGGCCCTAGATGGGGCGCAAGTTCTCCTGTGAACCAAAGGGCTGTTCAGCCCAGCCCAGTCCTCCCAGCTGCACGTTGGAAGAAAGGCCTGGCGATCTACGTGCAGAAGTCAGCCAGTGGAAACCCTGCGGAGCCCAGTTCCTGCCCAACTCACTCACTTGGGGAGTTGATGTCTACTAATGTCCACTAGCTCCGGTTTCAGAACCTTCTTCTGCTAACCCTGCGGCGTCCTTAGGTCTCCTGTCCGGGCAGTATTTCCTGCAGTTGTAAGTACACAGGGCGGATATGAGTTAGAACCGGCTTCATAGCACCTACCAAAATCAAAACCCTCACCACTGGACCAAGGGACGACATCACGATAACCGGAGAAGAGTTTGAAGTGGCCAAGGATTTTTGTCTCACTTGGATCCACATTGGAAGCTCATAGAAGCAGCGGTGAGGAGACCAACCCGCTGTACATAGCCTCTTTAAAGTGTTGAAATGCCAGGGTGTTACTTTAAGGACCTGACCCAAGGCAGGGTGTTTGCAATGACCTCCAGTGCATGTGGCAGTTGGACCGAGGAAGAATCAATAGATGCGTTTGAACGATGGTGCTGGAGAGGAATACTGAAAGTACCATGGGCTGGCTGCTGCAAGGACAAACAGGTCTGTCTCGAAGGAAGTACAGCCAGGAGGCTCCTTAGAGGCAAGGAAAGGGAGACTTCCTCTCAGGTCCACTGGGCATGTTGTCAGGAAAGACCAGTCCCCGGAAAAGGAGATCAACAGTCATCACTACCTACTAC